CGCACTATTTTGTTATCACAATTTAAAGTAAGTTTGAATTAATAATACTCGAACGTTCCGTGTTATCATTATGTTGTATATTTTGAAATATTATAACTTTGGTAATTTAATAGATACGAGGTCCAAATATTTTTATTTTAATTATTGCATGACCGAATGATATTTTTTTATCACACTTATATATTGACAGTGTGACCAACAGAAAAAACCACGTGTTAACGATATCGAGAACGCATAAATATATGATTTTAGTTGATGGCATCATATGTGCCAAGATGCATCAAGAGGTTAATAATAATAAAGTTTTTGAAACAAGAGCTGATGACAAAGACTAATTTAATTGATTTGTCTTATTTGACTAAACCAGACGAAAATTTTTCATCGCTTGAGGTCCACTTCTATTACATAAAATAGTAAGATAGAGATTAGTTTTTATAGTTATAATAATTGTAATAGTAGTTTAACAATAAGTATCCTTAAACTTTTTATTAATGAAAAATAAAAATAATAGTATCTAATAATTGGTCTTCAGACAAAATAAAATTCAGTGTTTTCTGTTAATACAGATTTGATCATTAAATTTTATTACACATTATCAATCCATATTCTATGATCAAATGTTAAAATTATTATTTTTTATAGATTGTGACCATGTTTGATAGCTAGTTATTAATTTAAATATGTATTATTGATTTACTTATTATAAACTGTATATTTATCTTGTACTATTGGTAAAATAATTAATAATATTATTTTAATAATTTGAAATAATTATATTTCTGTATGAATACTGTACAGATCTGTTATATTGTATTTATTTTATTGTTTTTTAATTATTCTGAAAATATTCAACTTAAGCTTTAGTAACCTCAGTTATGAATTGTTTTCTTTTAAATATATTAACTAGATTTTATTTAAATAAACATTATTTTTATAGAATTTTATAAATTATGCAGTTTAGGGAAATTATAGAACAATTTAATTGATTTGTGTTTTTAAAATATTGAAAATACTTTATTGAGGTATTTTTTTATTATTATTATTGATTGCAGTATTACAATTTATATAATAAAGCATTAACAATATAGCATAGTATTTTTTTTTTTTTTTTATAAAATTCAAGAAGTGTAGAACTGACATGATAGCAGAAAAAATCTTTAAATTAAGTTCTTTTGTTTTAATAAGTCTGAAAGTACTTAATTATGTATATTTTTTTGTAGATCAATGATCTCTGTTATGAAATCTATTTACTATTGTCTGTATTTATTAAAAGGCTGACAAATAATTATGCTTATAGTTTTATCAAATTTATTATAGTGAATTGTGAGTATTCTGATAATAAAACTTTAAAATTTCATTAAATATACCTATTATTTTGGTTATATTAATATTTATAAAAAGATTAAGCTTTGTGATAATTTTTTATATCAATGAGTTTTTTTAATAACCATCTATAAAATTTATATTTGATGGACAACCTTTACGTACACAGATCATTTATATAGCATATAAAATAGACATCATTAACAACTTTTATTTGCATATTTTATTCATATTTATAGTTAACAGTTTGGTAATTATTTAAAGAGCATTATCTTCAAGTGTGTTAAACAAGTAGTTAAAACATCAAAAATTAGCTTAAGCTCATACAAGTCTATCCATAGTCTGCCATCTCCTATAGTCTGCTAATGCTAGCATTTCATACTTCTTGGTCTAAAAACAAATTATTCTATACAATTAGACAATAGATGTAAAAATATACTGAATATAATTCAGGCATATTACTTATATAATAAAAAAAATATGAATAATCAAATTCATATTGTTGATAATATATTAGTGGAGTAACCACGATGACTGATAAATATTTTAATATATTGAATTTTTTGTAAGACACATATTATAATATACATTAAAAATTATTATATTTTATTTTAAATAATTTACATTTTTATACTTTATTATTTTTAACCATTAGTAATACATTTAGTTTTAACAATTATATAACAATTAAATTGTATATTAATTATTTTTTTTTTTTTTTAATTTTAGTTTATAGAAAAGTACTTAATACCTATTAAGTATGAACAGTGACGGAGGTTTTTCAATTACACAATTTTATTTGAATGATACTGTTATAAATGATTACATGGATCTGATCAATAAGCGCTATTCAAATGTATATGTGTATAACACACATTTTTATTTTGCACTTATTACAAGAGGTTTTAATATGGTTAAAAGATGGGTTCGAAAAATTGATGTGTTTTCAAAGAAAAAACTATTATTTCCTATACACTTACAAAATTGTAATCATTGGGTCTTGGTATGTGTAAACTTTGAATTAAAACAAATTCAATATTATGATAGTCTTAAAAGACATAATCTTGAAGTTCAGTATAATATATTCCAATATTTAAATGAACAATATTTAGAAACAATAGGATCTTCATTATGTACTAAAAATTGGAAAATGGTAACTGTATCAGATATCCCTTACCAAGAAAATGGACATGATTGTGGAGTATTTGTATGTACTTATGCTGAATATTTAGCAAGGGATGCAGCGTTCAACTTTTCTCAAAGACATATGAAATCATTTAGACAATTGATTGCATATGAATTAACAGTAAAAAAATTAGTAGATGTAAATGTTGATGCAGAAGATATAGATTCTTTTATTATGGACGTTATAAACTCATGATAAAAAAATCAATATTTTATAAATAAATGTTTATGTCCAATGATATTTTTACTGAGATTTGGTATAATTGAAGTTGTCTAAACACTCTAAAGTGAGTTATTTGTTCTTGTAAACTGTTGAATATGGTACAATGATTTTGCTCACTAAATAATCAGCTTTGGAATATGCAATTATTATTATTTTAACCATTCTTTTGATGAGGGACATAAGATGCATTCTAAATTAAAATTAAAAATAATGCTAGACATACTAGGATTCAATGACTACTGTTTTTTGAATTAATAGAAAATAGCAGTTTTTAAAAATATATTATTTTATTTCATTAATGTTTAACATAATTAAAGGTTTTTTGTTAGTAACGTAAAAATAAATTAGTCAGGACATATATATATTTGAAGTATGTGCTGTAATTACATTCATATAATTATTTATTATATTATCATTGACTAAACATTATCTTTCACTAATAATGCTCTAATACTCAAGAAGCTATAAAAAAAAAAAAACTAATCCATCAGTTTAACAAACGAAATTTTGCACCAATGACCATCTTAATGGTAAGAATAATTGACATTATTTTTAAATATGAAATTAGTTTATTCAAATATGTATTATTCTTATGATTCACTTTAGTTATTGAACTCATTGTGAACATACCAGACATTTTATACTTCTAAACTTTATAAATTCAACACATGCAGGGTAACTAGTTTAAGAACTCATGTCTAACATCTTACGTTATGTTACGGAGACTGACTAGTCCGTCGGATTATTATGCCAGCGACACTTGACCCCTTGATTTAATCACCTTCAAGCAAATTTGCCAATCATGGAGTGGTACTGATGTTATGGACCAATTTTTGTATCTCGGACTATAGTATTTTATTGTATTCTTTTTAATTATAAATAATGATCTATCATAAAATTTTTATTAAATGTCAAATATCTATCTTTAAAATTCAGATTAAATATTATATTTAATGAATAGTTTTATATTGTTTAATTATTATTATTTTATTTTTTTATTATTGAAAATATTGTATAAATAGATAATGTTTTTTAAACATATGACTTAAAGATAATGTGCAATGTATACATAAATATGTAAGTTGTTAAGTTCTTTAGAAATTAAATAGCATAAAAATCAATAACAAATTAAAATTTTATCAACAAAATAATCCTTGTTCATGTATTTTAAATGTTATTCTTTAAATTGATTAAATTGCAAAAATTAAAGTACAATATGGTTGTTTAGCCACGAGGCTCCTACGAATCTGTGGTCGGCCTCGATGACTACACCACCGAAAGATGAACTAGGAATAACCGTGGATAATTGCTTAAAGAGAGGTGACCATACAAAATATAAACATTCGAGTTGTATGTAAAGTATGGATTACACAATTATAATATGACAACGTATAAATTAACGTATCACCAACGACGAAGTGTTGACTGTTTATACAATGATTGATAATAGACTAACAGATATCACAATCACTTTCGTCGTGGTGATAATAATAATAATAAGAATAATAAGAAATAATAATAATAATATTCGACCAAACACGATCTAAACAATCGTGGTACAATTTGTATATATATAAAAATATAAGATATGAAAATAATGACAGTATTTACGTGACTCCGTTCCTATGCCGATGTTGTCGTTGGCAGGTGACCAATTGACGGCGACAGTCAGGCCACTGGTCAGCTGTTTCGTCTTGAGCACGACGGTATAACAACAGGCAACCAAAACAATGATAATAAGATCTGATAGTAGACCACACTTGTAATTCACACACGTCGACCGATCGGTACACAACGGAAGTCGGGTTGTAATGTTATATTAATTTAGCAACAATCGGAACGACAAAGCCTCAATTCTAAACTAAGACCGCAAGACAGTGTATATATATATATTTAAGTTTAGCGGAGTGCGGATGTCGCAACAACGATATATATATATACGGTTCGGAACGCGAGAAGTGTAACCGATTTGATTTCAAACACAAGAAGACCGACCTATGCGAAGGTAAAAGTCTAAGACGGGCGCACACTTGGACACTTTGACGAAGTTCACAAGACGGTCTGAGGCGGCAACGTGCCGACAACTTGTTACCACGAAGGCGTCGCACGGAGGAGTCACTATTCTTCATGCCGGTGTCTCCGACAACACCCAAAAAAAACGCTATTCGAAATTAGTGGCCAATGACCCTATATCACCTGAGATAGGGCAATATCTATACGTAATCTTTACGGCGGTTATAATTCCGTAAAGATACGTGATTGTTAGGGCCGTTGACCTACTAATTCGTTTTTACTGTCGGGCAATCGATTTTAAAATAGCACATAATAGGGCCATCGACCCCAGAAGAGAGGAGTCGCGATTAGGGCGGCATTAATATCTATTTGAAGTTATCGCACTCGATAACTTGCGCGAACACGCATATTTATTGTCGTTTAGAGTGTTTCCGACGTATTCGTTTACATTTTTTAATCGTATACGTATTAACGACGTACCGAGTTTATTATCACATACACAAATCGCGATATCCCCCCAAAGGTATGCGATTAAAGGCGTTACAACGACTGAAGAGCAACGATTTTGCGATTTTTTTGTATATAATAAACACGATCTGACGTACGTCAACAAAGGTACGCACGTTTCTTTTTTTATATAATATTATTATTATATATATATAATATATATACACATATAATCGTATTTCGTACGCTATCGAGACGATGAGGTCGCGGAGGCGTCCGAGGGCGGAGACACCGAAAACAAAAAAACGCGTATTCGGATACGGAAAAACGATTTATCGTATCGTAAAAAAAAAGAACAGTAGTGACGATACGACCGGAGAACGCGGTTTCCGGACGCGACGGGCGCGAACGGGACGAAAAAGACCCGCTCCGGGCCGTAGCGTCGAGAACGCGACGGAAAGAGGTCTCGAAAGGCCGGAAAACCGGGCGAAAAGCGGAAAAAACGGTATATAATAAAAACAATAACAATGAGTAATGAGCAAATGAACCGATGACGACGGCAGTTGGAGAAACGATAACGACGGGGAGATAATACGGGAGAACGACTGGAAGAAAAAAAACGGAATTTTTCGATTGGTCGGGACACTAAACCTATCGGCCCGTGTAGCTACTATTCTTCGTTTTATATTATAAGAAGATTGTGTGGTAGATAGGTGTCGGGTGGGCACGTATCGTACCAACACGAGAAAGGAAAGAGAAAATACAAAGGTAAGGTTGGTTTAAATATGTTGCAAAAGACAATATTTATTTTTTTTTTTTTTAAAGAAAATAACATAAACTTCTGACAAAACAGGAAAACAAAATACAATAAGTCGTCGGTTGACAAAACGCGGACGGAGACGATCGCGTCACGTGTTTTGTTGAAAGAGCGCGGCGGCGAAGTTGTTTAGTACGAACGGTCGTGGAGGTAACGGAGAGTACCGGGTCACAAGTGCAAGGGGTGTGCGATCGGACGCAAAAAAATCGAGAGTGACTCGTCGTCGTCGGTGCGTCGCGCGAGGCGTCGTTAACACCGTGCGAGTCGTACATGATGTAACAGGGAAGCGTGGTGACAAAATCGGGAACGCGATTGGCACGCGAGATTAGTCGCGACACAATGATTCGGCGAGCGTTACAATAATTTATTTACAATAATTCTGGTACGCGGTACAATATTTCGGACGTACAATATAAACGTAGTAGTGGTGATACTACGGTATCGCCACAATTGTAATACAGCTGTATAGGGCTTAATATCATATTTGTTGATTATTCGTGATAACAATTTTGTTATTTCTTGGAAAAAAATAATTCAAAGTCGATAATATTGCTGTAACACTGAATAACAGGAAATAAATTTGAATTTAAACAAATTTTAAAAATTGTTTAAAAATTATTGACTGGACCATATTGAAAGTTTTTGACACCAACATTTTTCTAAAAATTGGATTTACAAAATGGCTATCTCGATTTTTTTTTAAAGTCAAATAGAAATTTTTTTAATTTTTAATTTTACATAAATAATATTAAAAAAAAATCGAAAAATATTTTAAATGTAGCGCAGACGACAATTGACAATTTAAAAAAAAAAAAGTTGAAAATGTACAGTAGAACCAAAGTAATTGCAATTGTCAGTTCATCGTGAAACACCCTGTATTATCATTACACTTATGACATAATATTAATACTAAAATTTTTAATCAAAGTTTCTACATTTTAAGTTTAATTTAAATTAAATTTGTAAAAATCTTACTTCATAAAGCTTTTCTATTAAGTTATTATTATTCATATTATATAAATCCCGCAATTTGAGAATAATTGTTGACTGAAATCCTAAAGTATACATAGGCCAATCATAAAGTAATTGATTTGAGTTAGTGATGCATACAGAATAGGTACCTATTGGTTTAGTTATGCGTAATCTATGATTATTTATATAATTGTAGTCAAATATCATTTAATAAATAATTTGAATTAGTTAATATTCCATTACTGATTTTTTACATTGCCCTTACATGCGATAAACCGAGTAAATGTTGTTAAATGATAATTAACAAATTAATTTTAATAAAGGATATATTTTTTATTTTAAACTATTGTTTATAACAATTATAATATCATTCATGATCTGAATTACCACTCAAAATGTCAGTATTTGTTACATGTTTTAGAAATGATCTAATTTTGTCTGTATTAGGTGGATTATCGTACTTTTCAATTGCATCTAATGCCTTTTGAACCGCATAATAGTTCATTAATCTATCCTAAAAAAAAAATAAATATTTATTATTTTTTTCAGAACAAAATTAATTCTGTCATAAAACGATAAAACTACTAAATTATTAATATCTTTAGATTGTGATCGAACTAAGTACTAAGTTCATTTGTCATATAAATAACTGTGTTTGTGTTTATTATTATCACACCCAAATCACTTCTGTTTATGTAACTCTGCGTAAAATAATGTTAGTTAAAATAAATTCCTGTAGTTGCATTATATTTAGTGATTTTTTAAACCTTTAAAAGACGTGATACAATAATGAATCTAAGTAATAAATGATATTTTGTAATAGGTATTACTAATATGAATGACGACAAATAAGATCAATTGTAAAGTTAAACACTTAATCAACATATTGTTTACCTACTTGACAGAATGTAAATAAGTTAACATTGTATAAATAATATGTTGATTAAGTGTGTTGTGATCCAGTTGTAGAGCACGGTTGACGAAGGTCGATTCAAAATAAGTTAACACGTTGATTGATTAACTATTATTGTATGTTTATTAATATTTGATTAGTATTTAACA